CTGACTGAGTCCTCTTGTCCATAGAAAAGCAATGTTAAAATAACTCTTTGTCCTCCATAAATAGATACTAAGAGTCATTTGTGAGTGGGAAGGGAAGGAGGTCTCACCCAATGCAATAAAGTGGCACAATTATGAGGAGAGAAAACTCTCAAGTGAATTGCTGCTTTGGAGCGCGCCATTCCTGAGGTAACAAATGAGGAAACCAAGAAGCAGCTAAGGATGAGGAAGAAATGCAGGATGAAGTGTGAGGCCTGGACTGGGAATGACCAGGCAGAAAGCTCTGGGGCCATCTTGGACTCTTCATTCTCACTCTATATGTTCAAAATATTTCCAAGTCTTGTTTCCACCTCCACGACATCACTAATTTACATCCCATCTCTCCCCTCAAACGGTGACAGTCAGAAGTTGTGCCCTCGGCACCCAAATGTGTTTTTCTACAAGACAAATCTGTGCAAATATCACTCTCAAATTCCAATAAACTCCAATGGTTCCCTCTCATGAGCAGGATCCAACAGGAACTTCCCCATTTGGGATTCACAGCCATTCCTAACAGTCAGAACATGCTTGACAGCTTGATCAATCACCCCTCCTCTCTACACTCACAGGCAGAATTGCTTCCCACTGGTTCTCATCATGCCCAGCACTCTCTCTCTTCTGTGCATTTGTGGTGCTCTCCCCAAGGCCTGGAATGCACTCTCTCCCCAGCTCCATCCCTCAGAATCCCTCATGTCCTCCAAGGCTCAGCTGAAGCAAACCTTGACTACATGAGTCATCCTTCAATTCCTACTGCCTTCAACCCCAATATTGTCTCTTATCTAGTTTCAACATAAGACCCCAAAAGACAGGCCTCTGTTGTGTACTCTGGGCATTATGTTGAAAGAGACACCTGACTCTTATTTGATGAGAGAATGCTAACCACAATTTTCATATCCACCATGAAGGATTGATTTGAGACTGACTTGGAAATAGGTCATAGAGACCCTCGAGGAAAGTGGTTAAAGATGCAAATTGAATGGCACACTCAGGACCTTCTAGCTGGAAACTGGTGGGAAAGCCTGGCCCATCATGGCCCTTGAATTCCAAGCCTGGTAGTCCTAGAGACTGCTGACTAGACTTCCCCTAGGTGAGAGAATTCCATCTCCTGATTGGAGCTGAGACCCAATCTCTCTCTGAATCAAAGAGGTCACTGACTCTAGGCCATTCTTTGGTACATTCTCATCTGTAGAACTTCTCTGATTTCTGTTGGCTTTTGCTGAAACAAATGACTTACCTGCTATTCACTATTGGTCTTTGTTGTGTGCAGGCAATGTGAGGATGGCCCATCTCCTACTCTCTGCAGATGTAGACTTGACCTCAGATCATATCTATCCATGCCCCCCTGTGAGTCATGTCTCTATATTTATACTACTCACTCATATGTACAGCTTATATATGCATCGCTCTAAACATACCTATACACATGTTTTCACTACCCCCAACTCTATTGTAAGCTCTTTGAGAGTACAATCTGCTTTATGTTTTCTCTCCTTAGCCCCAGCAACAAGCAGAGTTCCTGGCTCTTAGTAGGTGCTTTACAAAATACTTCTTGATTGATGAACCTCCATTTGACTGAAGAGTAAAGTTAGGCTAAGACAAGGAAAGTGACTTGCCCATAGTCACCCAGAAAGGCAGTGTTGGGGCAGGATTCAAACCCAAACCTCTTCTGGGATCGAGCATACTACTCTATTAACTATATCATGATGTACCTTGTGAGTGCTTTTCCCAGGAATACAGTGTTATGGATCCCAAATGACTGGGGAACAGTCACCCCACCTCTCTGTCACTGGGCATCCCTGCCTAAAGATGAGGTTGCAAAGGAAGGAAGGATAAGGACAAGGCCTGAGACCCTAAGGAGAGTGAGAGGAGCAGTGGTAGTGTGTGCTGTTGGTTATGACTGAATGAGCATCGTTATCTCTGCTTGTCTGCAGGAGAGATTGAGAAAGAGGCAAGAATATGTGTACACAAATACATATATTCAGCAATACATATATGTATACATACGTGCCACATGTATAGAAATAATATTACTTTAGTTATGTGTGGATATATGTATACAAACATGTTTTCATATGAATATACATGTGAATCTTTGTGTTATGAATATTTCTATAGCCTAATGATGCCTATGGATTCCTCCTATTAAGAATAGTTTCTTAATAATTGGAGGAAACATTGAAATTCCATTAAAGGTTAGTGAAAAATAAAGATAATTTCCATCCCTCCACATTCACAGAACATCCAAAAAAACTACTCATGGACCCTAGGTTAAGAGTGACTGGCATAATGTCGATATGTGCATGTATGTAAGTGGGCATGAATATATAGATTATATCATATGCATTCATAATTGCATTCAAATATGTTCATATATGTATATGTATATTGTATGTGTATAGTTTGTGAATGCATAAGTGTATATGCGTGTGTGTCTTCATAAGTGTATATACTTTTCTCCTTATAAGAACATTAAAACGCACGGCTCCTGTCCGTCCAAGTCTCACCCCTATATCCACCTGTTGTCTAGAGAAATCTGAGGGTCTTGGATCTCTATGGACAGCTGAGCCCACAGGAGAATACCCAATTTCACTTTCAGAAAAGTTCTGTGAGAGCTAGAAAGGGAGCTAATGAACCAGGGGGCCCACAGGGAATGTTTTTTTTCTGCAGGAACCATGACTGATAAGTACCAAGGAAAATGGGAAGGACCAGTGGATTGAGGATAATGAACCAATCCACAAGTAATTCCACTAATGCTCTTCTGTAATGGGGAGAAGAGGCAGGGCAATATAAGGGTAAGAGAGAAACTGTCCTGAATCTTGCCCCTATCTCACCCCTCATGCTCCAATGGCCTGAGTACAGGCATCAACTGTAGGACCAGGAACAGGAGTCTTCAGGAAGCTGGAGAGGAAAAAGGGAAGTTCTCCATCTAGGGCCTTTCTTTGGAATCCTAGGATCTGCAGATTTCTCTGTGAGTTTAATCCTTTTTTTACACATTTACATGATCCTCTTAATATGCACAACTAGAAAACTGGTCACTCCAGGAAATGGGGAGAGGGCACAGAAGTTTCCGATGCTATGTTCTGATGTTTTCTTTTTCCCTTGGAGGCAGGAAGAGCCCCCAACCTTCAGACACTTTTTAACATGGCCCCCTGTAGGGAGGGGGAGTTTTGTTTGGAGTGCTTCAGAAGCCCCTACATCCCCAGGGTGTGAAAGTTCTTGTTTCCAATCTTCCAGGCCCAGGCTCTAGCTCAGAGGGAGTGGACCCCGTATCTCCTTGATTTTCTCCTGTTCTCAGTCTGGATGAACAGACCCACCCTTTCACAAACAGTTGTCCCTAAAGCACATCATTTGTCAATAAAGAGGAGCTGAAGCCACAGCACTCAACAATCCAAACAACAGTAAGTATTGAGCATGTGTTTATTGCAGTTTGGCACAGAAAACCAATAAAGAAATAATTACATTTCCTTCCCTCCTGTCCAGGGGTGAATTATTGTGGATGTGGAACACTGTGTAGTACATTTTTGGACTTAGTTCGTATGATGGTTAGTTGTGCTGAAATATTTTTCTCTTCTTTTTCATTCTTAGATTTAAAAAGTTCTCTATGTCAGGTACAGTATATACAACAATAAAAATTATGTGAAAGGAAAATTTATTGATAGAAGTCATAATAAAAAATGGATGAATGAATTTACGAATTAATAAGAGTAAACAAACAAATAAATGCATGTTCACATACATTAAAGAAACAAACATCTGTTGCATTGAATTGAGCAGTTCAGTCAACCCTTACACTTGTCCATATAGGTTGTAGAAGGAAGAAAAACTCCCATATACTAAAGAAAGAGCAGAAGAGAGAGGAAAATGGAAGTTAAGTTGGAGTGTGGTCAGCAAGGAAAGGAAAACAAATGTACCCCCAATCTTCTCCAGAAGACTCATTTCTATACCTCACTGGCAGAACATGACAAGAGAAAGGAGAAAAGGGGAAAATGAAACAGGCTTTTTAAAAGGGCCTACTATGTGCCAGGCACAGTCTTAAACCATTTATAAATGTTACTTCATTGGATTCTCTGAAGAACTCTGTGAGCTTGGTGTTATTGTTGGACTCATTTTACGGTTGAGGAACCTTAGGGAGACAGGTGTTGTGACTTGTCCAAGGTCACACAGCTAATATGACTAATGAAAAGTCTGAGAAACATGATTTCATGGTAATTAAGAATCAATTTATTAACTATGACTTGCAAATGATAGATTGAGGTCACTGGCCCCTCTAGAAACCAAAGGTGCCCCGTGGAAAGCATCAAAAGTCTTTGAAAAAGAAGGTATGCCAAAGCATGGAAATCAGCTCTAACTGGTTAACAATCAATGAGCAGTGGACATAGAGCTGGGCTGAAAGCTTTCAGCTCCACCTGTTGAGGATGCAATGAGGTTCTGCTGACTCCAGCTATCTGGACAAAGGCATCCCGTCACTACCCAGTGAATGAACAATGAACAACGGAGGGGTAAGATTCTCTTTGTAAGATCTTCTAGTTGAGTGGGGTCCCAACCACGATCAAAAAGCATGTACTCATGGAATTTGGGCAATCTCATCCATCGGCAATGTCCTTCAGAGACTGACTGAATAACCTACATGGGGCTGGTTTCTGAATGAGAAAATAAGAGGGGAAAGTCATAATCCTAATTGAATAATTGGTTATTAATATGAGTGAAATAATAATTTCTCTGTCCAGTAAGTATCTGAGACTAGAGTTTAACTCATTTCTTACTCTAGGTCCAAACTTCTGTGTGCTGTGTACTGGCGCCACCTAGCTGCACCCTAGAGAGAGGGAGTGTGGAGGAGGAGGCTCTAACTAGAAGGTAAAGAAGATGGGAGTAAGTCTCTGGAAAAGTCCCTGATGCACTTCTGTGTCTTTGTGTCCCTAGGGCACTTGAGAAGAGCAACGTTTCCTGGGCTGGAACCAACCACCATGGCTGTGTCCCCCACAACTGGGCAACTGGAATATGTTTATGACAATGCGACAGAGAGAAGTGCAAGTAAGACCTTAGCTCCTGGGGAACTTCAAAAACTTTATTTGGGTGATTGGATGATTATCTTCTCTCTGCTCATTGCCCTGGTTGGGCTGGTGGGGAACAGCATCGTCCTATGGCTCCTGGGCTTCCGCATCCCCAGGAACCCCTGCTCCGTCTACATCCTCAACCTGGCCGTGGCCGACGACCTCTTCCTTTGTTGCTACTTTCTGATGTACATAAATTACTTGTTTGGACCTTTTTATTCTTGGTTAGTGTCCGAAGTACAATTCCACCTAACATACATGTTCTACACCATGGACCTGAGCCTCCTGGCTGCAATCAGCACCGAGCGCTGTCTAGCCGTACTCTTCCCTATCTGGTACAGATGTCACCGCCCCAAGCGCACGTCTGCAGCTGTGTGCGCTGTCCTCTGGTTTCTGACCGGCTTGTTTGGGGTAACAGTTTATGCGTTTTGTTATCCTTTGTTTATTGCTGGTTTTTGTTCCCCATCCCTTTTCACTGGTGTTGCGTGTTTATTCCTCCTCGCTTTTGTGCTGTGCGTGTCCAGCCTGACTCTGCTGCTGAGGGTCCAGTGTAGCTCCCAGCGCCCGCAGCGCCCCCGGCTCTACCTCCTGGTACTCCTCACCGTCCTCATGTTCCTGCTTTGTGGCCTGCCCTTGGGGATCACAGATGTCATAGAGTTTGTGACAAACTCAAGTTTCATGCCACATAGGCTCCCTTGGCTCCTGGCCTGTGTGAACAGCAGTGCAAATCCCTTCATTTATTTCTTCCTGGGCAGCCAAAGGCATAAAAGGAGGGAGCCCCTCAGAGCGGTCCTGCAGAGGGCCCTGGAGGATGAGCAGGAGGTAGGAGGTGGGACGAGGGAGGACCCCCACACCAACAGTCTGGAGACATCACTCTGAGGCTAAGAACAAGACGCTCAGACAAGAGCCCCAGGCCCAGCTGCAGCCCCCTTCCCACCTCCCTGGGAGGGAGGGAAATCAGGATTCCCCTTCCACCCCATTTGTTGGTGCCTAGGGTTTGAAATCTAAGTGATGAGGAAACATTTATTCGGTGCCTACTATATGCCAGGCACCCAGACAAAGCAGAGGAAAGATCTCCAGGGCCTGGAATGGGAAGAACCAAAGTCAGATCTGGCCTTGATACTTATTAGCTGTGTGACCCTGGGCAAATCACTTCACCTTGTTTGCCTCAGTTTTCTCATCTTAAAAATGAGCCAGCAAAAGAAATGGCAAACCTTTCCAGTTTCTTTGCCAAGAAAACTCCAGATGGGGTCATGTCACATGACTGAACAACAAGACTGTGCCAGGCACTGCACTAAGCGCTTTACAAACATCTCACTTAATCCTACCTGGGACGTAGGTGCTCTCATGATCCCCATTTTACACCTGAGGAAACTGAGGCAGGCAGAGGTTCAGTGACTTGCCTAGGTTCCCAAAGCTAGTAAATGTGTGAGACTGGATTTGAACTCAGATCTTCCTGACTCCAAGCCCAATGCTCTATGCACTGTGGAGCTCCCTACTTTGCTGGAGGCACCTTTAATTAAGGGTGAGTTTCAGGGCCTCACGTGTCGCCAGCCCAGAGGAAGGCTACTCCAACAAACGGCCACTGTGTTGAAGAATAGAGGAAGAGGAAAGATATCGTCTAGGGCCCCATGTCTCCCTGTCCTCTCCGTGTGAATCTCTTTAAATGAAGGCAGGGTCATGGGTCAGACTCTTCAAGGTTCTGCGGGCCATGCTCCCCTACCTTGTCTTCTCTCAGGCTTGATCCTCCAGGTTCCCTCAGGCCTCATTCCTCCTCCCCCAGCCCTAAAAAGAGGAGATTCCAGCTCAGCTATGCCCCTTCCATTCCCTGCTAATGCTTCTTCCCCTTCCCCCCTCCCACTCCCATCGTGGGAGCTGAGTCAAATATTTCTCTCCCTCTGAAGGTCAAGGCTGGGGCTGAGCACCCTCTCTTGTTTCCAGTCTGTTTCTCCAGGCCTCTGTCTCTATGAATCTCTGTGATTCTATGTTTCTGTGACTCGATTACAATCTCTCTTTCCTTCTGCATGACCCAGTTCCTCATGAGGGTAGGTATTGTAGGGGTGTTGTATGAGAGGGTGCATCCTAATGAGACCAAAGCAGGGGAAGGGGACACATCATCTCACACACCTACATGTCACACACACCACACACATCACACAACATGCATAGTCAACACACATACATGCCACATACACACAAATATACACACACACTGAACAACAATCTCCTATGGAATATCCCAACTGAGAGAGATCACTCAGCCTCCACTTGACTCCTCCAGTTACAATGACTTTGCTCTTTTTTCAGTAGTTTCAGATCTCATATTTTATCTATTCCTGCCACAAAATGGTGTGATCATATACTTTTTTACACTTTTATTATTTATATAATCAGTTATGCTAATAGTTTTTCTTCTGATAAACCATCACTGCATTTCTGGTAGAAAGCCCACTTGGTCATAGTGTATAATCTTTGTAGTAGATTGTTGCAGTCTTTTAACTAGTGTTTTATTTAGGATTTTTGTATCCATATTCATTAATGAAAGTGATCTATAATTTTCTTCCTGTTTTCATTCTTTATGGTTTAGCTATCACTATCATGTTTGTTTCATAAGAGGTGTTTGGTAGGATCCTTCTTTGTCTATTATTCTGAATAATTTAATACTGGAATTAGCTGGTCTTTAAATGCTTGATAGAATTCACTTGGAAATCTATCTGGTTCTGGTGCTTTTTTTCTTAGAAAGCTCATTTATGGCCTGTTCAATTTCTTTTTCTAAAACATATCTACCTAGATATTCTATTTCAAATGGTCACCTGCCCAAAAGGAATTTATAGAAGAAATTTTAAAAGACTTTAAAAATCAAGTGAAAGAGATTGAGGAAAAACAAAACAATTAGAACAATTAGAACAATCCAAGAAAAATGAGATTTTGAAAAGAAAGTCAACCAATTAGAAAAAGAGATCCAAAATCTTAAGGAAGAAAATGACACCTTGAAAATTAGAACTGGACAAGGGGAAGCCAGCAAAGTTAAAAGAGATCAAGAAATAATAAAACAAAATACAAAGAAAAAAAAAAGAGAAAGTGAAACATCTTATAAGAAAAACAACTGATCTGGAGAACAGATCAAGAAGAGAAAACATAAGAATAATCAGACTACCTGAAAGCTATGATCAAAAAAAGAATCTTGTTACAATAAATAATACAAGAAATAATTAAAGAAAATTGTCCTGAAGCATTAGAACAAGGGAAGAAAGTAGAAATAGAAAACAATCTATTGATCACCACTTGAATGAGATCTTATGAGGAATATTCATAGGAATATTATAGTTAAATTCTGAAACCCCTGCCTCAAGGATAAAATATTAAGAACAACAAGAAAAAAAACAATTTAAATATGGTTGTGCCACAATTAGAATCACACAAAACCTAGCTGCAGAGACACTGAAAGACTGCAGGCCTTAGAATACTATATATCAAAGAACAAAGGAATTGGGGATTTCACCAAAAATATCATACCCAGCAAAGTTAAGCATAATCCTGAATTTTAAAAAAATGGACTTTTGATCAATAGTCAGACTTTCAGGACTTTGTTTAATAAAAAAGAAAAACTTAAACATAATAGAATATTTGACATACAAGAGCCAAGATAAACATAAGGTACATACCAAAGACTGATACAAGGGATTCGATAAGGACAAGACATTTACCTTTTATATATGTAAAATGTAAAATGTGTGTCTGAGATTGTCAATAGTAATTGGGTAGTTAGTAAGAAAGATTGGGGTAGACCTGACTATGATGTGACTTTAAAAAATAAACCATTTAGGAACAGCTGAAAAGAACAATTATTTTATACAAATGAGGTATAAGAGGAGGAATCAGCACAATGGAATTAGATGGAGGAGGAGGGCTGGTAGTTCTGGTAACCTACTTTCATTGGGAATGGCTTTAAGAGGGAACAATACGTATGTACATACATACATACATATCTAGAAGAATATAAAAGTCTTCTAAATTCAGAAGAAATAAAATGGCAAGGGGATAGGGAGGGGGGAGAAGATAGGGGATCAACCTCTAAAGGGGGGGTGAGGGAATAGGTTAAAGAGGGGTATAGAAAGGTGTTTACATTTATGGGAATGAGAGGATAAAGGAGGGATCCTTGGGAAGATAAGGGAGGGATCTCTAGGGGGAGGGTGGCAGAATGAGTTAAAGGGGGTTTTAGAAGGGTGTTATATTTATGGGAATTGGAGGATAGGAGAGTAATCCTTGGAGGGTGGGTGGGCTAAGTAATAGGAGGGCAAGGTAGTAGCTAGAAGTAAAGTAGAGGAGTCAGGAGGGATAGGAAATAAGAGATACACACAAATATAAAAAAAAGATCAAGAGTAGAATTTGTTAGGAAAAGTATATGTCTATGTATGTATGTGTGTGTGTGTATGTGTGTATGACAATTCATATATACATTTACATACATACATACATACATACACACACACTTAATTGTAGCCTTTTAGGGGTGGGGAGGAAGTGGACAAAAGAACAAAGTAAAAAGTGCAAAGCAGAAAACAAAAGAAAACTTACAAAGAAGCAAAGATGGACAGCTCTTAGCACAATGCACAGTATTTATCATACAGGCTTTCTTGAAATGAAAATATATTGCTATATGTTTTGAATTCTCTCTTATGTTCTGCTGTGCACATGCTATACTTTCTTTTCTTTTCTTTTTTTTGGTTTTTTTTTGGGGGGGGCAATTGGGGCTAAGTGACTTGCCCAGGGTCACATAGCTAGTTAAGTGTCAAGTGTTTGGTCTGAGGTCAAATTTGAACTCAGGCCTTCCTGACTTCAGGGCCGGTGCTCTATCCACTGTGCCACCTAGTTGCCTCCCTTTTTGTTTTCTTTTCTTACTTTGTATTTAAGTTTATGATATGTTTCTTTTTCTTTTCTCTATTCTGTATTTGATTTCTAGTGTTTGAGTCTAAAAGAAAACAAAGAAAAATGTTAAATTTACTGGCATATAATTTGGCAAATAACTGCTTATAATTGATTTCATTTCATCTTCATTAGTGGTAGATTCAGTTTTCATTTTTAATGCTAGTGATTTGGTTTTCTTCTCTCTTTTAAAATCAAATTAATCAATTGTTCATCTATTTCATTGATTTTTTTTCTTAAAATCAATTTCTAGGTTTATTTATTAATTTAATTGGTTTTTATTATCAGTTTTATTAATTTCATCTTTAATTTTAAGATTTCCTATTTAGTGTTTAATTGAGGATTTTTAGTTTCTTCTTTTTCTAGTATTTTTTTAATTGCATAGACAATTTATTGGTCTGCTCTTTATTTTACTGATGTAAGTATTTAGAGATACAAATTTTCCTCTGATTCTTGCTTTTGCTTTGTCCCACAGGTATTTCATTATTGACATTTTCTTTAATGAAGTTTTTAATTATTTCTATGATTTGTGGTTTAACCCAAACATTATTTTTTAAATTTTTATTAATTTACTTTTTTTTTGTTTTCAATGTTCACTTCCACAAGATTTTGAGTTCCAGGGTCAGCTAGGTGGTGCAGTGGATAGAGCACCAGCCTTGGACTCAGGATGACCTGAATTCAAATCTGGCCTTAGACACATAAGACTTACTAGCTGTGTGACCCTGGGCAAGTCACTTAACCCCATTGCCTAGCCAAAAAAAAAACAAAGGAAAAAAAAAGATTTTGAGTTCCAAATTTTCTCCCCATCTCATCCCTCCTCCACCCTAAGATGGCATACGTTCTGAATACCCCTTCCCCTAATGTGCCCTCCCTTCTATCTCTCCCCCCCTTCTCTTATCCCCTTCCCCTTCTATTTTCCTGT